GGTGCTCGAGGGAACGAGGGAGGCGGGTGGTGGGGGGTTGAGTGGGCGAGGGTCCTGGGGGGGGGGGGCAGATAGGGGGCAGGGGCCGGGCCATGCCTGGCTGTTTGGGGAGGCACAGCCTCCATACAATTTCCGAAACCCGATGCGGCCCTCAGGCCAAAAAGTTTGCCCACCCCTGCTCTAAAATGTACCCTCCTGCCATGCTGGATACACCGCAGGAAACATGTGCTGCAGGGAAACTGAAACTGTTTCGTTTTACTGAATGAACTGTAAGTGGATTGCAGAAAGATCACCAAAAGCAGTACTGGGGAAAAGTGAATTTGACCTTAGTGTTCAGTTTTAACAATCTTGCGTAGAGGTAGAAACACTGTAGAAAAGATTTGTCACTTCAGTGTCCATTTAAAACTCCTCCTAATATCAGCTGGATCAGTTAAAATACAAATCAGAAGGTGTGTGCTGGACTGCACAGCACAAATGCCTATTAACAGGCCTATGAGAAAACAGTGTGTGTTTGATTATTGGATTAGTGCCGATGCTGTTTTGTAAGAAAGGGACTTCTGAAAAGTATCAAATTTTATGTTCTCTTGTGAACACACATAGTGCTACAAGTCATTCATGCTAGGGAGATAAATGAGGCTCCATACAGAAATAGATGGTAGGTCACTGGAGTTGCGAGGACTACATATGATGTAAACTTGGGGAACAGATTATTTTGCATCATGTATTCTGTTCAATAATGTACCCCATAAATTTGATTAGAGTCTAACTTTAGGAATGTCTTGGCATTCTGGAGTCCTGTACAAACTTGTGGTTTATGATTACCACCTTGGATTTACAACCACTTCTAAACAGTTGTGGGGAAGGAAGGAAGAACTTCTGCCTCTGTATTGTACATGATAAATCATTCAAAATGTATGCAAAAGGCATGGGGCCTTTGTGGCAGATCCAGATGGACATTCTTAATAGGAACCATGTGCCCAGAGCTCCATTTGCCAAACTGAATTCAGATCCCTGTCTCGGCACTCTAAATTAAAGCCTGCTTTTGTTGAAATCACACCAGAGAAAGGACTGCTGCTTCTAGCATGAACTGTAAATTGGTGGTTTATGCTTCAATGTATTTGTTTAGAATAATTTTTTCAGTTAAAAGAAGGTAGAAAAATAAGGATGATGGAGAACAGTGGGGCCATGTGGTATGATCATATTGCTAACTGGATTATAAGAGCGTTTGGGGGATGGATTCTAGTCACCTAGCTGTAATCATCTTCCAAACACAACAGGCATCTCTGCTAGCAGAAGGGAGCCCCTGAGGAGGACAGATGGAGGGCAAGCTAGTTATACTGCAAACAGAAAAATTGTGTATACACGTGTCCCGTGTCTATCTAGTCACAGGGTTTTCTATACCGCCCGTTACCCTAGGAAGAAAGGGGAGAAGTCTCTTAGCTTGCTACCTACTTGTCCAGGGTTAGTACAGACCTGGAGGCTTAGCAGCAGTTAAGAATGGAAGGCAGATGGATAGGAGGGAGATGCTTTGGGTTTCAGCTATTTCCTTAGGGTGTTTTCACTTCCCAGCCTGAGCTCAGTTTGAGTCAGCTGCTCTCCTGGTGCTGATCTCTTGAAGCTGCTGGGACATTCTTGTGGTGGTGCTGGTTGCATTTTACAAAACCAAATGTCCAGCTGAACATTGTTGGTATATTGCTGGCAGCGGAGCTCAGGGTGTCTTGGCATCTTTACAAGTGGTTCCATGTAATACTGAAGAGGAGGGTAGGCAGGACATATCCCTGAAGGTGCTCTTGGGGATGTGGAGCTCATCCATTAGAGTGGTATCTGTTCTGTGTTCCTGTCCAACGCCTGGGTGCAAAGAGTCCCATATGACCACCAGTATCACCTGTTTTCAGATCTTGGTCGTAGCTACTTTCTCAATGAGCTGGCCTAGGAAAGGAAAGTCAGAGAAAGGAAGATAGTTGGGAAGATTTTATGCATCAACTACTGGGTTTATTTATTACCACACGATCCATCGTCTACAGCCAAGCACTGAGGTACAATCGCATCTGCTCCAACCCCTCAGACAGAGACCAACACCTACAAGAT